TATTTACATTTATAAAGAATATATAAACGTATTGCTAAATCATGCTGTAAAACTATTTCATGTAAATCTTTCTAAAAATATTTTATTCTTCCTGGAATGGTGATTTTGTCAAATCTTATGAATAACATCTTTTTTTAAATCTTTCTGAGATAATTGAAATTCTCTGATGAAAGAGACGTTGACTAATGTCAGCCCTTGTCGATCAATATCATGCGGACGTTAACTGTTACGAAAGCTTGGTTTTCTAAGAAACTCGTTATACAAGTAACCTAAGACCTTTAAAATATTTCTATTGTATTTCTGTTCTTTAAGGCCAAAGAACGTTTTCTCTTTAACAAGTTACGTTGAGATGGTTCTCTGGTTATGCTTTTGTACCACGAGGAAGAAACAAAACAAAGAATTTGTACAAAACTAATCATTCAGTCATGTTCTGATTTAAAAATTAATATTGTTATCTATATATGGAAAAGAAATGGTTGGAATCGACACAAAAACATTAAATGTAAATTGTCACGTGGATACGATGTAGGATGGTTTGTGAAAAGATATCGACATCAACCTCTATGTTTAAAAAGCAGCCAAATAAATAATGTTATACCCAAGACAAAAAAAATCTTGATTCATTACGTATAACTGTAAAAAAAAGTTAAAACCTACGCTTAATTAAACTTATAAGTAAAGACGCGTTTAACATTTTTTTACAATTTAATGAAATAAGATTATTAATTGACACATTAAACTTTCAGTTCTAACATTGAACTTAAAAGTATATACTTATTTTAAGTATAGTATACGTTATTATGTTAGACACAAAAACTTTAACAAATATGTTGATGAACAAATCGCACAGAAAACTTCAGAAAGTTATTTCACTATTTCAAAATTCTTCGTATAATGTTTTGTAATAATAAAATAATTTCAAATCATAATTATAAAGTTTTATTTCAGAAGTCATACATTGTTACATGTGTAATAAACAATCACACACACAAAAAAGAACTGTACATGTGCATAAGTGAATCTAAACAGTGCAGCCAAGCTTTCTTTACCACGAATGTCCTCTTACATAATATCTTAGTGATATTATATCGAACCACTAAAAGTGTAATTCACTATATCCTGTAATTACTTGATTTCATCCTCTTTACGTATATATATATATATATAACCTGCCAGGTTTCATTCGTAAGAAACTACACAATGTAATTATTTCTACCTATGAATTAGAAAAATACAGAATACACCGACATAAAGAAGGTTATTTATTGCAACTTTTCACAGGTAGAAAATAACGTGGAAAGAATAAATAAGCCAGTATACTGCTTTCTTGCTTTTTCTACTTTTGAGCTATTCTTTATTTCTAGCTATATAGAACTACAACACGTTCAAAAGTGGAAAAGGTATCGAATGGGAATACCAGTAGCTATTGCTGAACTAGTAATGGTATTTCTTAATTGTCCACAATTCTGATGGATTGTACACTGAATTATTCCAAAAAGAAAAAGTGGTAACGATTTTGTATTATATATATAAGTGAATCTTTATACCAGTAGTACGTGTGAGAACTATTGTTACCAACTCATAAGAGCGAAATCATACTATACTAGTTTTAAAGTTTTTGTTTTGAATCTACATACATATTGCTACCTGCTTATTCTGCCTTTATAGTATTCTCATTTAAGCTTTGTTTTTGGAAGCACAGGTTCTAATTTATTAGGTACAGAAATCAAAGCACGCTTAACTATGTTATAGCAATTAAAATTCTTCAAAACATTTATACAACATTATTTCTTTTGTTATTATTTAACAAAAGTATTGATATAATTCAAGCTGATTTACATGTGTAACATTCTAATTTAAAGTGGACGGGATTTTGTGTTGCAAATAATTGCTTAGCTGTACCTAATTAATTGTTTAATTTCAAAGACGTCTAAATAGCTTTAAGAGTTAAGTAAAATAGTTGTTTAAGTTTTGTATTATCTTTTAACAATAGCCAACTAAATCCTAAGTATTTTCTATATAAACGTCCAGAACGTGTATATAACACTTTTATATCCTCACTGTAATTCAACAATTAAGCTCGACTGTGTTAATTCCATCAGGCTATTACTAACTCATAATTAAGAATTAAAATGATAATTAGAAAACATTAACAACGAAAGAGTTTATCATTTTAATATCTTGTGGTTCATCGTAATTAAACACAGTTTTTTGGAATCAAGTTTTAAAATTCAAATAATTTAAAATTAAATTTTTCTACGATGTTTCTTAAATAAGGAGGTGTAAGGTGTAATAAGGTATGTGATACATACATATCACAACAGCAAGGGAGGGTAAGAATCAGAAAGTATAAATAACAGATAAAGTTTTTCAGGTTATTGGAGTGTGTAAACAATCCACATGTATGTCGTGTTTAACGACAATGTCCAATAATCATAATCCCTCTGCAATGTTAGAGACAAAATATCTCATAAAATAATGTAATATGTAGTTGAATGTAAATAGGATTGTGTGTACTGTCATTGAACGCAGCAGCAAACAACATCATTTGAAAAAACTATCATAAACAGTACAGAAACACTTGTTCTCTGGATGTTTTGTTACTATAGTAGTCGTTATTAGTGAATCAATTCTTCCTAAAGCTAAGGTGATAATTTTTCAAAATCCTCCAAGGTAGCGAGCTGAGTAGTAAACATAAAAAACAACAACTTATAAACAAATATATTAGTAATAAAAATTGATCCTTTTCGAACAAAGACAATTTTCGAGATGTTTCACACAGGCGTAAAATAATTGCAATTAACCTAATGGTTAAAAGCTGACTTAAATGTAAATGCTTAGATGATTATTTAAGTACCTAGTTTATAAAAATAATACAAATACAATATATTAAGTACCTAGTTTATTAAAATAATACATATACAATATATTAAGTTCTTAGTTGACTAAAGTAGTATTTGAGTAGTCTTTCCCATATTTTGATAAAGTAATGATAACAGTTATTCCAAACTGTAACTGATTTATTGCACATTTCTCATAATTTGTTCATTTCATATTTTAAATCAGAAGTGTGTTAAATGAGTGTTTTAGACTCATGTTTTGTATTAATAATGACTTGTGGTAAACCCAAGGTGAATCTGAAACGCCGTATTTACACACCACTGATTTTGAAATCCGTAATGGACGAATTAAAGAGGAATGTAAAATAAATCATCTGCAGCCAAGAGTGAAGCATGTTATAAATATTAGGGCTATGAATATCTAGTTTAGTAATGTAATGATCTGGTAATCTTCTTAAGAACTCAATTTAACAATGTTCTGATAACCCTCTTAGTACTTATTAATGTAATGATTGGATATTTTTTTAGTATTTAGTTTGTCAAAGCAAATAGCCTGCGATTTTTTAAATTAATCATTGGAATGTATTAAGACTATATATATATTTGCGGAAGTTCCTCATTATATTTTAATAAGTGAGGGCTATTTCAGTTTAAAACCTAACTTCGTTTTGTTTGTAATTTAAGAATAACCTGGTTGTTATGAAATATAATTCGACGAAATTCAGAAAATATGTTGCATATCAGTTTCATCACTGAAAACGTAAACACCGACAACAATACTTCAAATATTACTAAAATTTTTTCAATGAATTGAGTGTATTTTTTGCACGAAATAAAGGATTTTATGGTCTTTATTTATTATTCAAACCAAAAATTCTCCAAATCAATTAACATTTTTGTAACGTCTATAAATCAGAAAATTCCTGTCCAAGCGTGTGATTGTTCTGTTACTACAAATTTATTTTCTTACTCTAAGGTGGTTTCAAACCTGTTGTTCAGTGAAACAACGATGCAAATTACTTATTTCACCAAATCCTGTAAAATTCATATTTCTATACAGTTTATAGCATGATAAAACTCAGTTCTTGTATTTCACCTGATGATGCCATGTAAACCTGGTGAAACGTTGTGTATAAAATAAACAAAATGTTTAATATGTACAACCGATTAAAACTTGTGAGAATGATAGAACTCTGTTTACGTCGAGACTTTAAACTGACTTCTTTACTTAGGTCACATTATTTTAATTGCTATACACAAACTAAATGAAATAAGTTCCTAAACTTTGCAGAAACCCTTCATGGTGCTATATCTGTTTGAAGAATGATATGTGTATGACTTGGAAGTTAGAGAGTAAACCAATATTGCAAACGTTTGGGTAACTATTACGACATATTGTAAACATAGGACTAAAATAATTGGCAAAATGTTTAAGAACAATTCTCATAATAAACTCACAGTTTTTTGTTGTACATTATTATCCACCTAAACACTTCCACTGAACATACTCTGACGTTTATATTTTACAATGTCATATATGTTATCCTCTATTTAAATTGCATATTGGATTGACATTTCAACAGACGAACTGGAAATTGTGAAATACTTATAAATAATTGCTCGAGGCGAAATATAGTTTACAATAGAAGAGAAGAAATACAACAATACTTTTCACAATATAGTAATAGATTATATTGAGACTGAATT